GTTTTCGTATCAGGGTGGCCAATTTAGATACGACTTGGCCGATATCTTGAACCCTGCCTATAGTGGTATTTTCCCTTAAAGTGATGTCTGCTTAGTAGATAAGGACCCAAAGTCACGAAAGGTAACATCCATGCTAACATGCATTTTCTGTGACTCTGGATGATCACATTTATTTTACTTTTGGATAGCAGAATAACCAATAAAAACACATCACAGAGCCCTGCGGTCAAGTTTCTCCTTAGATGGTCAAAAATCGTTGACAAAACAAACACATCCAAAAGGGAAAAGGAAGAAATAGAAGGAATAGAAAAAGACCTAGAAAGACCCTCGATAGGAGACCTAAACTTGAGGACACTCGAGGGTGGACGATTAATAAGATAAGTAACAGTAAGAATGACATCCCCCTAGAAAGATTGAAGAACATTCTTAGCAAACATCAATGAGCGAGCAACCTCAAGAAGATGACAATTTTTTGCTCAACAACACCATTTTGATCAGGGGTACGCAAACAAGTGGTTTGGTACAAGATGTCATTTTCGTTGAGCTAAGAACGAAAGTCCCCATCAATATAACCAGTTTCATTATCACTTTGAAGAATTTTGACTTTGACATCAAACCGAGTACTCACCATTTTATGGAAAGATCTAAAGCATGAGAAAACTTCACTTTTACTGTGTAGCTGTTAAACCTAAGTAAGATGAGAATAATAATCAATAAAGGTAACAAACCAACGATAACCAGAAGTAGAGACAACACGGGAATGGCCCCACACATTTGAATGAATAGTGACAAAAGGTGTAGTGTTTCTATGGTTAGTACTAGGGTAAGATGAATGTTTATGTTTGAAAAATTCACAAGCATCACAAACAAATGATTGTATACTACACTGCTTCATTAAGCTAGGAAAAAGATGTTCTAAAATACTAAATGATGGATGTCCAAACGTTTATGCCACTGACGTAAGAGCTGAAGAGCTGAAATATCATCTGTCCGGAGAGCTTGATAGATAAACTGAGAAGAAGTTTTAGCATCCAAGAGGTAAAGACTTCTATGTGCTCTACCACTGCCAATTATTTTTCCTGATTCCAGTTCGTAAAAGATATAATAAGTATGGAAAAAAGTCACCGGATAGTTTAAGGATTTGATGCTACTACTAACAGATAATAAATTAGTGGAGGAATTGAGAACATGAAGAATAGAGGAGAGAGAGAAAGAAGGTGAATAGTTTGTTGAACATTTTTTAGAAATAGAGGATAAAGATCCACCAGCCACCCTAACTTTATGACAAGTAGCATATGAAGAGAAAATGTTAGAAGAACCAATCATATGATTAGTGGCTCCAAAATCTATCATCCAAGGAGTATATGAGGATGATGCAATAAACACACTAGTAGATATATCTGTATGAGCAAAGTTGAAAGAAGAGGTAGGATTAGGAACTGTAGTAGAGGAAACATCAAATTGAGCCATCAATCGCCTAAGAGTTTCCATCTCATCTTGAGTGAAATAACTAGAAGTTACACTCCCTTTCGACATGTCCACACAATAGGGTCAAATAATCATAGTGGCAAGTCACAAAACCAACAAAATAGCCTACACTTCCAATAGTTGCCAAAAATACACAAAACCAGTAAGCAAATACAGCCCAAGTAATATGCATCAACCTCCAGCCGCACTTCAGAGGGTAGGATTGAGCAAAAAACAACGGCAACCAAAAAAAGGTCCTAGAGATAGAGAGAGGACAAAATAGCCACTGTTAAGCAATCTGGAGCAAGAAAAAGCCACTGTACAGCAATAAGGGCCACTGGATAGTCAAACACCCAATTGTCGACAGCACAAAACTCTCCAAAAATTGCATAACAATGGCCAAAAAACTCCCAGCAACCAAAATGGGTCCTGTGCAGCAATTGGTAGAGGGAAAGACCAGATTTGGTAGTCTCGAAGCAGTTGGATAAGGAGCAGATCCCAGATCTGTTTAATAGGTCACTGCCGAGAATCATAGGGAGCCAAAAACCTTACAAATCCAGTCGAACAACCCAACAACTCATGGCCATTGTAGATCAGGGTCAGTCGCACCCCAAGTAGTCAAGTCAACTCAAAAACGACCTCCAAATTCCTTGAAATCGCTGATCGCACATCTGGGGAGCAAAAAACTGAAAAACCTTCAAAACATTAAAAGATCAATGAAGGGACTTCGAAAAATTTCAGAATAATAAACATGATTTTCCAGAGATTGAATCGAATTAGATGCCCTATTTTTCGAAAAATTCTGACATCGTTGACGCTAACATCATACGGTCAAATTGCTGACATTAGCATGTCAGGTGAGGTCAACGACCGTGGTTGACTGTAAGATCAAATTTTGACTGAGTTACAACGACTTTGGGACGTTCAATTCAGGCCACAGATCACTGCTCTGATACCTAGTTAAGTTATGAAGTCGTTAGGGTTTTGGGAGAGAGAAAAGAATATAAGAAAGAAAGAAGATTATCAGAATATAGTAGTATGTTAGGTAACATAGCTACACCCAGCTTATAATCACAAAGTGCAAAATTATCTTTAGTCTAGAAATAACACTTAACATAACAGAATCTCACTATGCTTGATTTCTTTGTAACTATTTATTCACTCCAGCAAATGGCAGTTGCAAAATCCTCATTCCCACAAAAAAATATAGCCTTGTGATAGAGATCGAAAAAGGATTGGATGAACTTAAATTTAAAAATTGAATTTTATTATTTGTTTTAGTATTATTTTATTAGTTAGGGAATATTTGTTTGACTAGGAGTATTAATTAGAGTTTGATTAGAGAATTATTATAGAATTTTAGTAGGATAGGGATTTGAGAGTTTGATCATGAAACTCTTTTAGTATTTTAATAGGAAAGTAGTTTTTATTTTAGTAGGGGACTTGACCTATAAATAATGGTGTAATCCCAACTATTTTTAATTAGACAGATTATGAATAAGAATTGAGTATTATCTGCGGAAATTTGTGTATTTCTTCACCGATTCCTTGTGAGGATGATGTAAACCCCTTCCACCCCCTCTTCTTTCTTCTTCTCTTTCTATTATGTGATTTCTAGACCTTCCCGATCTACATCACCTTGTTCACTTGGAATGGATATAATATTATTTCACAGTTAAACTTATTAACCTGAGCATATTAAATCCATCACCATGGAATGACAATGCTCTCTTTAGTACAAATTACAACACTCACCTACTTAGCAAAATCGAAAACATATTCAAGGTCACCTTCAGACTTTGTCTTTTCGATGATCTTACCCCCATACATTGCTTTCGTGGATTTCTGCGAATTCTTCGTATTCTCTGCCTTCATACCACTCTTAAAATTACCATCCAAAATGCTCAAAAAGTTTCTCCATCTAGTAAAGTCAATCCTTTGAGCAATGGTAATGAAGCCTCTTTTACTAGACGAATGGATTCTAATTTCTAGATTTTGTCAAGAACTTCCCAAACGTGTTAGAATTAAGTTTGGCCCAAATATGGTAGTCTTTGCTTCTAAACTCCCTGAAGAACAACTCTTACCTTCTCCATGCACAAGCCTCCTTGACAATGCATAGCCAAGAAACACCCCCATCCCCACTGCAATAGAGAAACTAGAAAAGCGAGCTCTCTCAATGATCTTGATTGTTAATCAAACTCAACTAAGAACAATTTCTGATCAATCAATCTTCATCTTGTTATTGATTTGTTTGAATCTTCTTGTTGTAGTCTTCATGGAATCAGCGATTGAAGTGTTTCCTTTGATTTAATCTCCAACAAATAATTCTTCAGTCCAAATTAATGTTATAATGAGTAAAGTGAACCAGTCTCTTGAGGCATAGGTGAAGTGAGCACTTTATCGAAGTGAAGCGGACTATATAAAAAAAGAAGCAAATATTTTAGTTTAATTACTTCTAAATATTCAAGTTCTAACTCCATAAATATTAAATATTTTGATACAACCAAAACCATAATACAACTAGAGTTTCATAAATGACTATAAACATAGTTTCAGAATATGACCAGTACATTGGCAAAAAAAAGTCAAAAACAGAGTTTAAACTTCAACCAAACTCCAACAAAAAAGCAAAACCATCACAGGAAAAAAAACAGTGATCGTTGAGTTCCACTATCACAGAAGAAGAAAAAGAGGGGAAGAACTAGAAGAAGAAAAAGAACGCACGAACCTAGTGAGAAGACAAAGAAGCGCAGCAAATCTGATCACTGGTGAGTCGCAGCAGATCTTTTTCTGGAAGCTAGAAGAAGAAGAAGAAGAAGAAGAAGATAATAGAAAAATAAGAAGAATGTAAGAAGAAAAAGAAGAAGGGAAATTACTGTCTGGTGAGTATCACGAAGAGCAGGACATAACTCTTCTGTCGATTAGGATTAGTCTACATATATATGGATAAGGCTCAATCAACTGTTGTTGACATATCTAATTTTTGATCCAATTGATCAATCTAATGACCATAATAGACAAAGATAGCAGCTTAAAAACTTCACTCAGGCACTCGCGTGGGTTGCTTTGTCCTTGGGGTGCTTATTCCTCTCCTCTGTGAAGTTCGCTTTGCTTGGATTGTTCCAGGCGACCTAGACTGGCCTGGGTCGCCTCTCTGCTAGGCTCACTTTTTAAAACAGTAGCAAATACTACCATAATTGCCTTCGCTTCTCAAACCATGGTTATCTTAGAAGTTTGGAAGTTTTTCAATTGTGATGAATCATGAAGAATATGTAACTAAGTTCATTGTACAAGCATTGGACTCTTCATTTTGCTCGCCTTCTTATGCTTACACTTTTGAAAAATATTTTTCTGTTTCAGAATTCTATACATTATCATTGGTTGAAACATACCGAAGCATCGGTCGAAAGCTATTGCAACACCTCAAAACATAGGAATTTTGATACTTAATCAATGATTCGTTTCGGTTACCATGGAAACAGAAACGTTTCGGACGTTTTGAAACGAAATTTAGTTCCTTGACTAGGGAAGTGATGGGGGAAAGTTTTTGGGTGACCGGATTTTGTGTTTTGGGAACCAAAGGTTCCATGGTTTGGGAGAGGTCATTTGAAAATGAAAATTTGCTAAGGTGTTGGTGTTTTCTGGTAACTTTGGACTATCTATATCCAAAAAAAAAAAAATTAATAATAATAACAAAAACAAAAAAATACTAGTATGTACATCTGAAAAAATACAAATAACTGTCTTATGGTGTCCACTTATGACATTTGGTTTTGTGAGTACTCCATGGAAACTTATTTGCTCATATGATATGGCTGCACGTGAGGCAATTTTCTCTCGCTTTGTGTTATTTTGCTTTGTAACTGGATGTGGATATTGTAGAAATGTAACTTGTTTCTTTGGCCTCCAGGTTGTTGTTGCTACAATTGCTTTTGGGATGGGTATCGATAAATTAAATGTCCGAAGGATCATTCATTATGGTTGGCCACAGGTATTCCTCCCGGGATAAGATATCTGGTAATTTTTTTGGATGTTTCTGATTTTTGTCGAGTGTTAATTATTGGTGCCTTATAATCTTGGCTGCTTCTGCAATACAAAACATATACTTCAACAGTCCATTTCAATTGGCTTTCTTTTTCTTTTACAGTATTTCATTTCTTTTTCTATTTTCTGTTATCTATTTTGAGTATTGCAACTGCCCAACATCTTTCTTTGCAGGTAATTTGTTTTTCGTCTGTATGTTGTTCAAGCTTTTTATAATTATTTAATTCTATTTATAGAGTTTGGAAGCATATTATCAAGAAGCAGGCCGAGCTGGTCGGGATGGAAAATTAGCAGATTGCGGTTAGGGTCATTTTTAATTTTATCTTAATAATGCTAGCTTGATGGTTGCAAAACTTTTGGCTGAACTAAGCAAAAGGTTCTATGGTTGGTGTTGACCATGAACTATCTAAAAATATGTTCTTTATATTGTGGTGTGAGAAAATATCTCTAATTTAGCATTGGAACTCTTAATCCCTTCTTAAAGCCTATATGCACCCAAAAAAAATTTTATTTGTCTGGCATGGCAGAGAAGGAATGTTGTTGCCAATTTCAAAAGTTTAAGTAAGACACTACATGTATTCCTATCTGGTTACTCTTGTCTTGTCAAGCAGTTCTGTATGCAAACCTTTCCCGAATACCAACACTTTTGCCAAGTCAAAGAAGTGAAGAACAGAAAAAACAAGCAAATAAGATGTTATTTGATTGCTTCAGGTTAGTATGAAATATGTCTTTTTACACCTACACTTGTTCTCAGTATTTCTTGACATACCATTTCACATTTCCTTGGATCCCCTGCAGATATGGAATGAACACATCTGATTGTCGATCCAAAACACTCGTGGAATACTTTGGGGAGGAGTTCAGCTATGAGAAATGCCTCTTGTATGTCATGATTCTTTCCTTTCATAGCTTCGATAATTAGATTGCTCCTTTGATAGTTATACACTTGATAGGGAAAAATCATAGATTGATAAAAATGATTTGGGCTTCAAGATATTGGCTCCTGCCTTGCTAGTTCTCAAACTTGAGGCCCTAGAACTCCCACAACTGCGAATGTTGTTGGTCTTGGTTTCCATAGACATGATTTGCCAGAATTTCTACCATATCTGCATCTGCAACAAACTCTTTTCTTTCTTGTTTTTATCTTTTGATAATGTTTCTACTGTATGTCTTCTATGCAGATGTGATGTCTGTATTGGTGGACCCCCAGAAATGCAGAATTTGAAGGCTGAGGCAGAGATTTTCATGCTGGTTATTGCTGGTCATCATGTGAGTACCATTGGCATCTTGTTAATATTCTTCTTCTCCTTCTGTTTATCCTACATTGTCCCAAATTCTTCATAATTGTAACACTGCAGCGTAAAGCTGTGGTTATATGTATTTCAAATTGGTGTTGACTGGTCATATTTTGTTTGTTTCATAAGATTTGGTCATTCTTAATGAAGATACCCTTAGAATTTCACCTATCTTCAGGTTTATTGACACCATAATGAACCTCCCTACCGGTCAAAGTATCTAATCTGTCTACAGAAATGTCAGCATCTCTATAGTTTTATTCAAAATGATGCATACTTGAATTGTTACAAATTCTTTGAAAAAACTGGCAGCGTAGAGCTGTTGTCATGTGTATTTCAAATTGGTATTGACTGTTCATATTTGGTTTATTTAGTAAGTTTTGGTCATTCTTAGTGTAGATACCTTAGAATTTCACCTATCTTGAGGTTTATTGATACCATAATGAGCATTCCCTACTGGTTAAAAATATAATCTGTTTATAGGAATGTAAGCATCACTGTAGTTTTATTCAAAATGATCTACACTTGAATTGCTATTTTGAGAGGGAAAGACTCTTATGCTCACAATTCTTTAAGGGTGGTTTGCTGCTGCTGCAAACAAGTGTATAATAGTTTTAGGGCAAAATTTTAGTCTACCTTCCTGTGGTTAGGCCCTTGTGCACATAACTCCTCACTTTTAAAATAGTCACATAACTCTCATGTAGTGTGTGGACTAAAATGCACCACTAACTCTGTTAATGGAAATAATAAAACTGTAACTTTGATTAAAAGAGAACAAATGAAAATAAAAGAGAGAAAATATTATTAAGGTTCCATAAGTCTGCTTGCAACAAATGACTCTAGCAATATATAATAGAAAACCCTTTATACTAGGGCAAAGCTGAATATATAAAAGAACTAAACTACCCTAACATACTATAATACTCTAACACCCCCAAACTCATGATGTAGTCGTTGAAAATATCAAGAGTTTGCCAAGAAGAAATCGAGAACTCATTGATGTGTGGGACTCCATAAAGAAGTCTACCAACTAGATAGTAGAAGAAAGAAAAGGAAGAGAGATAGTGCCTAACGGGGCAATCTGAATAGCACTTGTATTATCGCAATACATAAGAGTAGGCACAGATAAAAAAATACCGAGGTGCATAAGTAACTAACGCAACCAGATTATGTCAGCAGTGGTTGAAGCCATCACACGATATTCACCTTGTGCAAAGTAACGAGTAACTACTGTTCGTTTTTTACTTTTCCAGGAAATAAGAGAATAATCAAGAAAAGAAAGAAATCAGTGGTAGACTTGCGATCCATAGAGTTATCAGCCCAGTCATCATCCAAATAAGCTCAGAGTTCCATAGAAGAAAAAGAAAATAATATACTCTGGTACATAGTAACTTGAAGATAATGAAGAATGCGAGAACCATAGCCTAGTGAACAGTAGCAGGTGAAGTAACAAATTGACTAACAATATGAATGACAAGAGATGTCTGGACGAGTAACTGTAAACTATGAAGAACAGACACGTGGTTTTGGATAAAGTATCCGTGTCTGACACGCCTAGGACATAGACACGTGCTGACACATCTGGGACACAGACACGTGCCGACACGTCCCGGACTCGTGTCAAACACACCTAAAAGAGTGTCCAAATTTTATTTAATTTTTTGAAATTTTAGATATGTATAAGGCTTGCCCAAACACGTCGAATTTCGTTGCTTCTAGTTATAGTTACATGTATGGTTGTTAGGAGATGGGAAGAAACAAATGGAGACCCATGTATCGAAGAAGATAAAGGAGCGCAATCGCCCATGCTTGTATGAATTGACGAACTTCCAAGAAATCTGTAGAGATCCTTTTTTGGAAGGAAGCCAGTCATCCATTTTTGTTTCGGTTAGAGGGTCGAGAGTGGAAAATGTTTGAGAAAGAAAAAAATTTTGAGAGAGAGAGAAAGAGAGAGATACAATAGAAAATAGCACAGAAAAACTCTACTAATGAAGTAGCCCACTACTAGAAAATATCACAAACTGTACCAAAAAGGAATAAGAAGATTGCAGAAACACAAACTGTAGGCGAAACAAGGCTTCTTGACCGTGTAACAAAGCACCCAACACCTGAACAATGTCAAATTAGGGTGTCGATAGTCCCAAAAGGGCAAAACTTCTCACAAATACAAGAAATACTCAACAATCCAGTCTAGGCATGCTACAATATGCTTAATCACACCCTTCTGAAGGAATTCAAATCAGAAACAACACTGGATTGGCTTAGAAATCGTGGATTGCAAGCCAAAGCCCCAAAATTTTGAAAAACATTCAAAAAATCAAACAACTAAGCAAACGATTTCAAAAAAAATTCACAAAAATACTATAAATCTCAGAAGAGGATTTCAAGTCACCCATGAAATTTTTAAAAAAATTTGAAAAATTAGTTGCTTACGTCAACATGTCAAACCAAACAGAAACACTGTTGTAGCTTTTTTTAACAATCCGATGGCTTGAACTTTCAATCCTGGTCGATGCTCTGGAACTAAGTTGAATTATTATTGCGTTAGGGTTTTAGAGAATAAAAAAGGCAGAAGAGAGAAAGAGATTAGGAAAAGTGTATATTGTATTAAGTTAAACAACTACACTAACATATATATATATATATAGTCACACAGTGCAAAATACTAAACTACCCTTGTTCTAGTATTAATGCATAACATAACACATACCTCCTTTGCCAAGGGTTTGTTAACCACAACATCAAGTAAGGGAAGTGGATGATGATGGAGAATGGAGTCGTGCACTTCCTAAAAGTCGTCTTTGAGTGCCATAAAAAATTGTTTTAATCGCTCTTCCTCTGTATATGTACAGTATAGATGATTAGTGCTCAGTTCCAGAGCTGGCTGATCCCAAAACCCTGTCATAATAGAGTAGAACTCCAGTATACTCGTATAATTTTGACTTGCAACTTGGTTCTCATGTTCAAGTGGATACCTTGTGGCAAAGTTTAACTGAATAAAAAATGTGGCCAAATACTCCCAATTTCCTTTGGCTATGTTGAATTTAGCTAGGTGCACACCAATAGTCCGATCAAATGAATTATTAATCCAGATAATAATCTTTGCATTGTTGATGTACCAATTATTTTTCGATTTGACCTACCCTTCTGCTTTGGTATCTCTTGGGGCTTTCACTACATCAGTGATATAGTTCCACATATTTTAACCCAACCAGAAATTTCTGATAACGTATGGCTGGTAGGCATAGTTATCACCATTTAATTTCATGCTGATAGCCTGAAGAAAGTCCTAATTGCCACTCGCCATAATTGCAAAGAAAATCCAAAATTCTTGTTGGTAGCAAAATTATGTGTACTGGTCGTGGCAGCAAAAAGAAAATTACCTACAGCAAACCAGCTCAATGCACCTTCCAAAAAAACAAAAAAAAAAAAAAACAGCCCAATGCTCCTTCAGAAAAACAACCCAATACACCTTCCAATAACCAGCTCAATGCAAACAAACAAAAAGAAGAAAAGGCCCACAGCTAAAAAGAATCAGCAAGCAATGTTAGCAACCTGTAGTGCAGCCAATCCAACCAAGAAAAAAACAAGAAACCAGCAACCCAGAAAGGAAGGAATCAGCAAAATAGCAAAGCAGCAGCCCAACAAACCAAGAAAAACAACATCTCAGGCTCTCAGCAGTCCCGAAGATGAACTCGACACCACAGTAGCAATGAAAAACAGAGCCGACATAGAGAAATTCGCAAATAATCGGCACAAACCAGTTCAATGTGCTTCAAATCCTTCAATCAAACACCATTAGCCCTCAATGGCACCTTACAGGAGGGATTAGAGGGAGGACAGTTCAAATCCATCAATTTTAACCTTTTTTCTCAAAAATCTTAAAAAAAAATAAAAATCCTACCAGATGACCACGAAATCAAAACAAATTATACCACCTTGTAGCCCATAAAAAATTGGGTGGAATGATGGTCTCGGATGCCTCTGATGATGTCATTGCACACATGATGATGTCAACCACTGTTTTCAACACAGGAATTTCTTCTGATTTGCACCACTGTGTTTAGGATGGTAACTCGCTCTGATACTGTGTAAACTTTGATCAATAGAGACCAAATGAAAAGAAAGGAGAGAAAATATTATTAAGGTTCCGTAAGTCTTGCTTGTAGCAACTAACCCTAGAGATACATTATAGAGAACTATTTATATTAGAGCAAAGCTGAATATATAAAGGACTAAACTGCCCCAAATTACTATAATACTCTAAGAAAAAGCGACCGGAAGATCCTTTCTCTTTTTCTACTCTGTTGGGTGGGTGCATGGGTGGTGGACGATAGATTTGGGTGATGGGCGGAATCAGGTGGTAGATTTAGGTGGTGCATGGATCTGGGTGGTGGCTGGTGCTGCTGTGTCAGTCAGATTTAAGTGGTGGTTGTGCTGCGTTGTGGTTGATTTGGATGTTATCTCCTGGTGCTGCATTTGTGAGGTTTGGTTAGTGACTTTGGGATTTAATTAAGGTGGCTGCAGCTGATGGTGGCTGTCGGTGACTGGTTGGAGGAAGGAAGATGGAAAAGAGAAGAGAAAGAGGTGTCTGATGGTGGCTGTCTTTGGAGGTCTGGTTCAACAGCATGACTTGGGAGATGTCTGTGAGTGAGAGAGAGAAAGAGAAAGTGAGAGTGAGCTTATTTTTGGTTTTTAAAAAAGTATTTTTTTTTTCACACCAACTGGCACGTGACTCACTGCTAGTTAAATTGGACATATATTTGATGGTTTACTTTGCTCACAAACCATTTGAGTGTTGTGAGGCTATTTTTAAAGGTGAGTGGGTGATGTGTACAGGGGCCTTAATCACTGGGGCCATGGTGAAATTTTTCCTAGAAATCTTACTCAGCCCAGTATAGGTATAAAAATTATGTCCAAGTACAGAAGTGCAATGAGCTTGGCATTGTGTCACCAGACCCGGTAGTCATTAGCAAATAAAGGGTTGTTGTGGAAAAGTGTAAAGCAGGCTGTGTAGTTCTAGATTTCCCACGACGGTTTGTGTGATTGATAGAATTTTCAGGAAAGGTTTGTAGTTTACAATGTTTCATATTTTGAGTTAAGATATGTTGAAACATGTGAATTTTAATTGCAACCTTTCTTTGTGTGGTTCCTTGGTTTGGATCTCTGCATAGCAAAAAGGGGAAAAAATGCAGTGCCAGGAAAAAAGTAGACTATTAATGTAGATTTATTATATTCCTGTACTGCTTATGAAGAGATTTCCCTTTTGTAGTTTTCATCTTGTTTTAATAAAGTTAGTTTCTCGTTAAAGGAGATCATGGATGTCGAAAGCATTATGTAATGAGGTTGATGCTGCAGGCACAAAGCAGTGTTGCAGATGACTTGTACGATGATGTTACCTACAGTGGTAATAAACAAGAGAGATTTATGGAGAAGCCAAACATCAAGATGTTTGTTAGTAGAATTCGGGAACAGGTAGTTTCTGGTCCTAGTAATTTACAACTCTCTCTCTCTCTCACACACACCCACACACGCACAAAAACACACTCTTCTATGTAAATATCTGTATCAAGGATCGAAATATCGTTCGGTCAACTTGGAAACAAAAACTTTTTGAAAAAACAGTGGAAACGGAGAAAAAATTTGAAAACGGGTGGAAACTGATGAAAACATAGATTAAAATTATTTCTCATATAAATATGTCCAATAATTGAGTGATTTAGCATGTTTATTGTCAGACATCAATTTGAAAATAAAAATAAATGTTAACTTAGTTGAAAGCCATGTCAACTAATGAAAAACACTACATTTTTATCAAAAAAAAAACACACACAAGGTAGTAAGATATCATAATATAAACTTTGTATTTATATCATAAAAAACACATTACATTAATAATTAATGTCATTTATATCATACACATAAGTAAAATAAAATTTAGTACATAATGGATGGGATCAAAAACAACTAAAAGCTACCCACATAATATGCCTACCTAGTACCTAAATAATATACAAATGGAAAATAGAAAAAATGAAATGGGGATTTTATTTTCATGTAGGGGAGGTGTTAAATAGACATTGTCTCAAACCGATAAAAAAAAAACCGTTTGTCTGTCTCAAAGACAAACAGACAGAGAGAGAGAGAGAGAGAGAGAGAGAACTAGGGCTACGAAGATGAGCAGCACCTACCCATCCCGATCTGTAAATCCAATCAAGAGAGAGTGAGAGAGATCTAGAAAGAGAGAGATGTGTACTCTCACTGAATTAGCACACAACATCCACAAAGAAAATCAAAGAGAAAGCAAAGGAGACCAGAAAAGAAGAAAAAGAAAATCGATAGACTTACCTGGAGGCTGGATTTGTTCTTAGAGGTCAAATTTTTCTCTTATTAATTGGTAAGCCGCCTCTCTTTGCCTAAATATCTTTGATTTCATTGGGTTCTTCTCTCTGTCTCTCTTTCCCTCTCTTATTTTTTTGGCTGTTCCCTGTTTTGCTGAATACAGGAATGAAAAGGGGCATCTTTTCTCATCAAATTGAGAGATGTCGAATCTTTCTGTGTGTTTCAACGGAAACCTTGCTGTTTCAACCGAAATAGACCAAAACAAGTTTGTTTCGAATGAAACCCTAGATTTTATTTCTCTTGTCCTGTTTTGTGTCGGTGTGTGGAAATACCGAAACATTTCGGGTGTTTTGGGCATTTCAACACAAAATTTTGTTCCTTGATTTGTATGCATGTGTGTAGAACCAAATTTGAAACTCTGCACATAGAGACAAACTTTTTTATATATGTGGTTTTGGATGCACTCATTTGTTTGTGTTAGAGTTCTTATTTTTTGTATTGGTCACTTGATGAGTATAGGGTAATATTGTAACTACTCTAATTATTTCCCTATTATAAATAAGAAGTGTATGGGCAACACAACTGTACATTGATTATTTCTCCCAATATCCCTTTCTCTTCTTCTCTATTCTCTCTAAACCCTAATCTTGATTTTACATATTAACTTGGTATCAAAATAATTATTTCTTAATTGCAAGGCAGATCAAGGAAGCAAAAGGAAAACTCGTAACTATTCACTCGTTGGAGATCCTATCGAAAAGTGATGTCATGTTGACACCGGTAGCTTCCGGTGGATGTCTAGGATGGACTTCCTGTCTTGCCTTTTATGGTAATTTTTGTAAATTTTTTTGAGGTCATCTTGCTTGACTTTTTATTTTTTGAATGTTTTTTGAAAAAAAAGGTATCGGCTCTTCGATCTAGTTGTTGGGAGCAACCAGTTTGGTTTTGATGCTTCGATCCCCTCCAGAAAACGCCAAGGTTTTCGGAGGGTCTGGTGGCAAATCCATCTGGTTTGGGTTGTTTTTTTGGGTTTATTGAGGATGGGCAACAGTCGGCAACTACAGTGCCATACACAGGCACTGTTTTGGTGCTTCTGTGTTTCGGTTTTTCCTTTGGCGATGTACCTAACCTCCTAGAGTGTGGCTGATGCTTTTTTTTTTGGTGAGTTTTGGTTGACGGTAGTATTCTGGTGAACCTCTTCAACAATATATTTGTTATGGCAACTCTAGAAGAGGTAAAGGAACCCTAGATTTTATTTCTCTTGTTCTGTTTTGTGTCGGTGTGTGGAAATACCGAAACATTTCGGGTGTTTTGGGCATTTCAACACAAAATTTTGTTCCTTGATTTGTATGCATGTGTAGAACCAAATTTGAAACTCTGCACATAGAGACAAATTTTTTATATATGTGGTTTTGGATGCACTCATTTGTTTATGTTAGAGTTCTTATTTTTTGTATTGGTCACTTGATGAGTATAGGGTAATATTGTAACTACTCTAATTATTTCCCTATTATAAATAAGAAGTGTATGGGCAACACAGCTGTACATTGATTATTTCTCCCAATATCCCTTTCTCTTCTTCTCTATTCTCTCTAAACCCTAATCTTGATTTTACATATTAACTTGGTATCAAAATAATTATTTCTTAATTGAAAGGCAGATCAAGGAAGCAAAAGGAAAACTTGTAACTATTCACTCGTTGGAGATCCTATCGAAAAGTGATGTCATGTTGACACCGGTAGCTTCCAACGGATGTCTAGGATGGACTTCCTGTCTTACCTTTTATGGTAATTTTTGTAAATTTTTTTGAAGTCATCTTGCTTGACTTATTATTTTTAGAATGTTTTTTGAAAAAAAAGTATCGACTCTTCGATCTAGTTGTTGGGAACAACCAGTTTGGTTTTGATGCTTCAATCCCCTCCAGAAAACACTAAGGTTTTCGGAGGCTCTGGTGGCAAATCCATCTGGTTTGGGTTGTTTTTTTGGGTTTATTGAGGATGGGCAACAGTTGGCAACTACAGTGCCATACACAAGCACTGTTTTGGTGCTTCTGTGTTCCGGTTCTTCCTTTGGCGATGTACCCAACCTCCTAGAGTGTGGTTGATGCTTTTTTTTTGGTGAGTTTTGGTTGACGGTACTATTCTAGTGAACCTGTTCAACAATATATTTATTATGGCAACTCCAGAAGAGGTAAAGGAACCCACAATCGATGATCAGGTTAAACATGTTCATTCAGTGGATAATTCGGTGAGACAAATTACTTATGTAAATTTAAATAGAAGCAATTACTATTCTTAGTCGCATGCAATTAAAGTTTTCTACGAGCCAAAAAAAAGATCAAGTACTTTAATGACAGTCCTCCTTATGAGAACTCAAAATTTTTTAAAGAATGGTGGATTGAGAATTCCTCGGTGATGACTTGGTTCTGGCTTAGTATGAAACATCATTAGTTTCTAATGTTCAACTTCTTAATGCTGAGCTTTTTGAGTGTAGTCTCTTGAGGAGATATACTCACAAGAACACAATGTGTCTAGGATTTATGAGCTTTTTGAGTCAATGTTTAATACCAAATAAGGTAATAAATAACTTGTTGAACATTATGGTACCTTGAAAAGGTTGTGCAAGATAGAAGTAGGTCTGAACGAGAGAATCGTTGTTTTACTACCAATCACAAGTTTTATGTTGGGTGTAGTATTCATACTGGAAATTATGATTGAGGATTTCTTTATCAACCGCCATCTACTTTACAGATCCCTCCGGAAACATTTTTCAAAATCAAAGTTCAGTATCTTCCTAAGAATTGGTGAATTAGACTGGATTCCTTTGATAGAATAACAAGTGGTAGGTCAATCTTCAGAAATTTCACCAACCACTTCGTACGGATTTGCAGAAATAACGACGACAGCGTAAAGAGTTTCAAGTTACTTTACTCTTGTCTAGTGTTTTGAAAAGCTCGCCTTGGCGAGAAGCGAGGGTCTGTCGCCTTGAGCACCCTAGGTGAAGCGAATGTGATTGAATCGAGGAAAAAGTGAGAAAAGCGAGCACTTTGCACTTAAGAGAAGGGCGAAAAAGAGAGTGTCTTAGTTATGCGAGGCGAGGTTGTCTTGTATTGTTTAATTTTGTTATAGACCGTTGGATTGGGGCAATTGAAAAAAAATTATAAGATGCCATACACCCAATTATCCCCTTATCCCATAAATACAACACCCAAACCCTAATTTTGCTCAAAGAGTTAGACGACGAGTGCTGCAACTCCTTCCTTTCTGGTTAGAGACGACGACTGCTGCTGTTGCTCCTTCCTCGTTGGTCTACACACAGGTTTGTTTCCTTCTCTTTTCCTTCTCTCTTCTGTTTCTCTTCTTTTTCTCGCTTCTAGTTCTGGTTGTCTTCTTTTTCTCGCTTCTGGTTCCAGTCTTCGCTGGTCCACACTGGTTCTGTTTCTCTTATTCTTCTTCTCTCTGTGATGCTGAGATTTTTTGTAAATGCATATTTTGTTGATTCTATTTTTTTTTCTGGTTCTGCTAATTTTTTGATGCTGAGATTTTTTTTTTTGCTTCTGCTTCTGTTTTTTTTTCTGCTTCTGATTTTGTATAGTTGATGATTTAGATTTTCTGTAATGCTAGTTTATTGATAGTAGTGCTAATTTTCTATAATGATGAATGCTGATATTCTGTAATCCTAAATGCTGATTTTCTATAATGCTGAATGTCTATTTTCTGTAATGCTGATTTTTCGATAATGCATTTAAACTTGATTAGTTGCTTGAATTGTGTGTCTTATGTTTTTAAATATTATGATTTGGGATATTATTAGTGTTTGTTTGAATTTAAATATTTAAGCTATGATTAATATTAAGATTTGAGATATTATTAGTGTTTGTTTTAATTTAAATGTTTATGGTTTTAATTGCATTTAAATATTTAGTATACATAAAATTAGAACTTAGATGTTTAGAAGTAATTAAACTAAAATATTTATTTATTTTTTTAATTGTTCGTTTCGTTTCTCGCCTAGGCTTTAAGAGTCTTGGTCGCTTCGGTTCACTTTATGCCTTAAATAACACTGCTCTTGTCTAGTCTTAACTCTGAGGATGTTGTGTTTAAAGATCAGATTCTGGCTAGTGAGAAACTCTCGTCTTCTTCCAATGCTTACTCTCCCCTCTAATGTGTTTCTCTTGCTCGTGAGATTTTTTTAGTGTCTCAAGAGTCATCTACCTTGATTTCTAGTGATGGTGGTCGTGGTGGAGGAAGACATCCACCCCAATATGGTACTTGTGGTGGTAGAGGCTCTGGTCGTGGAGGATGTGGTGGTCGTGGAAATTGGTCTGAGTGGAAGTGTTCTTATTAGGAAGTCACTAGATATACTGAGGATTATTGTTAGGACACTAATCAGGTTTCAGATGACTCAAACCCACAAGTATTATATCTCAGCCATTACTTGGTTGATGTATTTTATCCACATTTGTACGTCATTCTGAGGTTACTTCTAAGCTTAGTTAGCTCATCCAACAGTTGTCTTTACAATCTCCCCATTTGTCTACTTTAGTTGGCGGTTTTGTCGGTGCAGGTATTTCTTCACATGTAGCAGCTCAATTAGCCTCGTCATCTTGGATTATTGACTCAAAAACTAGTGCTCACATGTCTGGTAAGTCATCTTTATTTTCTAATTTTTGTTCTTCTAACTCTCGAATTGTGTTAGTCGATGGTTCCTTTCGACCAATATGTGGAATTGGTGACCTTCATCCTCGTGAATCCATGTCTTTAACATATGATTTATTTGGTACTCATTTTTCTTTTAACTTATTATCTGTGAGTCAGTTAACAAAGTTCTTACAGTGTTCAGTGACCTTCTCCATCTTCTTGTCTCTTTCATGACCTCAAGACGAAAAAGGTGATTAGTTCAGGGTATGAGCAATTATGGTCTTTACTATTTGGACTCCAGCACAACAGTTCATGTCTCGAGTGCTACTGTGCCTCCCTTTCTTGCCTCGAGTGCTACTGTGTCTCCCCTCTAGTGACATTTTTTGTTGGGTCACCTTTCACTCTAAAAGTTTCAAGTCATTCCTAGTTCAAGTTCTTCCTTGTATTAGAATGTGAGGCTTGCCTAATACCGTAGTTCTTTTCCTTCTAGTAGTACAAGTCGTCAGACTAGTCCTTTTGATATTGTTCACTTTGACATTTGGAGTCCTACAAGAATAAAAGTATTTCTGGATTTCATTATTTTGTGATCTTTGTTAATGATTATTCTTGTATGACTCGTTTCTTATGAAGGATCGTTTTGAGTTACCTAAAGTTTTTCTCACCTTCTATAATAAGATCCTGGTATAGTTTGATAAACGTATTAAAGTGCTTCGTTTTGACAATGCTCTTGAGTATGTACAATCATTTATGTATACATTTTATAATTATTCATCAAACTACATGTTCCCATACATCCCAGAAAAATGGTGTTGCAGAACGTAAGCATCGTCACTTATTAGATGTTACTCCAACTCTTATGTTAAAGTGCATATCCCAAAGCTTTATTGGGCTAATGTTGTTCTTACTGAAGTTTATCTTATTAATCGGATGCCATCACCCATTCTAGGCAACAAATCTTCATTCCCCTTGCTTTACCTTGATTTATCACTCTTTTGTCTCAGTCTACGTGTTTTTGATGGTATTGTCTTTGTTTACCTGATTGGTCTAGGTCGGGATAAACTTTCACCAAGTTGGTTAAATGTGTCTTTTTGGGTACTCTCATACTCAAAAAATTTATTGTTGTTATGACCCTATTTATCGTTAGTATTATGTTAGTGCTGATATTACCTTTTTTGAATCCTACTTATTTTTTCTCGCGTTTGGACATGATCTTTCCCTTGATTTAATCTCTACTAGTCAGGGGGAGCTCTTGTTGCCTCTTGTACCCAAATGTATATCTTCTTCTTTATCGACTTCTGACCCTTCATTGTAGGTTTATCATTAATCCACAGATAGATAGGTTTCTTCCTATGTTCCTGCACCTTTGCCAATGCGTGATTCTTCTGAGGTTTTTCCTCGTGTGCCATCTACTAGCTCACAGTCTTCTGATTTGCCCATTACATTACAAAAAAGTACTTGCACTTGTACCTAATATCCCATTAGAAATTTTGTCTCCTTGCATCAGTTTCCCTCATCTTTTTGTTGTTTTGCATCAGCCTTGTCTGTTATAGTTGTTCCTAGCTCCTTGAAATAGGCATTGGCATTTTCTGGATGGAAACTGACTAGGGATGAGGAGATCAAAGCCTTACATGAACATCACATTTGGAACCTCACGTTTGTTCCTCCTGGTAAGCACCCTGTTAGTTGTTGCTGGGTCTACACTGTAAAATATCATCTTGATGATTCAGTTGAGCGTTTGAAGGCACGCTTGGTTGCTAAAGGCTACACTCAAACCTATGACGTGGATTACTGTGAGACATTTGCTCCGAAATTTGTCTTAATTCTGTTAGAGTTCTTATTTCTGTTACGGCTAGTTATGATTGACCTTTGTATCAACTGGATATAAAGAATGTTTTTCTGTCCAGGAGGAGGCATACATGGGTCAACCTCTAGGTTATGTTCTATGCGGGAACAATTACTTTTTCGTTTGAAGAAAACATTGTAATGCTTAAAACAGTCACCACACACTTGGTTTGATAATTTCAATACAGTGCTACTTCAATTTAGTTTTAAATGCTCTACTTTAGTTCATTCACTGTTTATTAGTCAATCTTTTGCAGGTGTTATCGTTATTATTGTGTATGTTGATGATATTATTATTTGTAGTAATGACTCTGATGGTATTGCTCAAAATGGAGATAGTTTCATACCAAAGATTTGGGTTTTTTTCGGTACTTCTTAGGGATTGAGGTTGCCCAATCAATGGAGGGTATCGGTTTTGAAACTAGTACTCTTGGTGCGCGTTTGATTGATACTCCCATGGACTCTATAGTGAAGTTAAATTCGGATAGTGGATAAGTTTTTGATGGTATAGGGCATTATCGGAGGATGGTTGGTAAGCTAATTTATCTTAAAATGACACGTCTTGATATTACATATGTTGTTCGTATAGTTAGTCAACTCATGCATGCTCCTCGTTAGCCTCATTGGGATGTTGTATGTGTCACATACTTCATTATTTGAATGGAGCTTCGGAAAAAGAGTTATTATATCGTTCATCATCACCCATATCAGATATTGATTTTTCTGATGTTAACTGTGCAGGTAGTCATAGTGATAAACAATCTACTTCTGGCTATTGTACATTTATTTTTGATAACCTTGTTACTTGGAGTAGTAAAAAGCAGAATATGGTTACACGTTCAAGTGCTGAAGCTGAATATCGAGCTATGGCTCATATTGCATGTGAGATGTTATGTGTCCGCTCTTTACTTTGTGATATGGGAATTAATGTGCCTTTTTCCATGAAGATGAATTGTGACAATCAAGCAACTATTTTATTGCAAGTAATCCAGTACTTGCATAAGCATACCAAACACAATAAGGTTGACTACCATTTCATTTGAGATCTCCTAATGCGTAAGGAGATTATCACTCCATATATTAAGTCTGGTGATTAGTTGAGTGATATTCTTACCAATCCATTAGCTCGGTCTGCCTTCAGTAATTTATGTTTCAAGTTGGGCATTTTTGACCTTTATGCTCCAACTTGAGGAGCAGTGTTAGAGTTCTTATTTTTTGTACTGGTCATATTTAATGAGTATTGGGCAATATTGTAATTACCCTAATTATTTCTCTATTATAAATAAGAAATGTAGGGCAACATAGCCGTACACAGATTATTTCCCCCAATCTCCTTTTTCTCCGTTCTTCTCTTCTACTCTCTCTAAACCCTAATCTTGATTTTACATTTTAACTATTTGCATGTATCGATTTTTCTATTGATTTTTATGGGAATCCCATGTGATAGTTTTTTGAGATCGTTAATGAAGATATGTCCGCATGTGATGCAGATTGTAAGTGGTCCAGAGAAGAAGAAATTAAGGGAATAGGAAAAACAATATATCTATCACGATACTAGATTTTATCAAGTGCAACTACCATATTCCTTAGTTACTGTATAAAGCGGCTAGCAGTAAGAAGGAGAATATGAAGAATAAATCGAAAGAAGAGAAAATATGAGAAAGAAAGAGAGGTATTAGGGTTTCTATTTTTTCTAAGGATTTAAATTATATCACTATGATGAAGGATTTCAAAGGTACCCCTACTAAATATAATATCCAGCAAAGCAAAACTTTGAATGAATGAGAAAGTAACGGGCTCCCTAACTTAGTGTACAAAAGACATTTTTTTCAAACTACTACCTACACTAAAAATGTGGTTGAAATCTACACCCCTTCTTTGGAGACTGCTTATACCATCTTGGCCAATCCTTGTTCTTGATCCCATGTAGCGAATTAACGGCTGTTACATGTATTAATTGTCCAAATCATGGATAGAGTAGTTGACTGATGTGTTTGACTCTTGGAAAAAGTATATTACTGTGTTGCTGTTCTTATCATATTGATCTTGGATTATTTCTGAACTTCTTTCTTTTCTCTCTTTCAACGCTTTTTTGTGATTATTTTTTTTTTCACATTTATGAACAGTTTCAGAAATTCATATCAACTGACTTCCTTTGGTGGCGAGGTCTTGCTCGTATTTTAGAAGATAAAGGGTTTCTTAGAGAGGCAGATGACATGGTATGAACTCAAGAATTTGTTAATATTGTTTTTTATTTCTCAGGTTAGCAACTTGATACAATCATGTTCCATTGGTTCTTATTACTTCTTTTTACAAATTTTTCACTCCTTTAGAGACCTAATAAGAGGAATAACTGGATATCACATGAAATTGACTGATCCACCTGAGAATTTGGCTTAGAATTATGCTCTATGCTAATCTTTATATTCTCAAATCAATGCATCCTATGTGCCACCTTTTGGCTCAATATTAAATTAAAGAGTCTGCTACTCTTTATAGTTTTGTTAAATGAACAAATCATGTTCAATTTAAAAATGGTGCCTTGACAAAACCTTTACATATGTTTGTCCCTCTTTTTGTTTCAAACTCATGCGGCAATTGAGTTGCATCTGCCATGTCAACTTAGATAGCAAGAAAACACAATAATGCCTTGGTAGCCTTAGAGGCAGCTGTTGTAGTTCTGATTGTGGAGAAGCTTAAACTTCAAAGATTTCTGTGTTTATTTCTTAACCTATTGAACATTGTACTGTTTATTACGTTTTGCCTTCAAATTATGCATTTGTTTCCTTACATGTCGGGAAGAGACATCACACGGAAGTATTATTCAGGCACGTGAATGTACACCTATTATGTGCTACCATATCCATGTACTAACTAGGTGCAATGACTAATCATAAAAAGAAAAAAAAAACTAGCTATAGATCAGTATGATCATAAAGTTATTGATATGGTGATCTTTAAAGAATTAAGATGATGATGATATGTTTGGGTGTCAGTAATTTTCTATGCAGAATGAGAAGGCTGACATGGAGTAAAACAAGAAGTTGAAAAATGGACTGTCCTTTTCTTTCAAGGTTTTTTTGTCCAGAAGACCTGAAATGTGTGATGTGTTAGTTAGTCGTTCCCTTCTCCTCGTGTAAGAATATATCCTATTTAGTTATTCAATTTTCATCCAACATCTCCTCATGCTGAAACCAGAGGAAAGAATTCTTCTTGTGCACCTGTCAATAAGTGCCAAGTACTGCTTGGGTTCCCAAAGGTGGTAACAGGCCTCCTAGCTCCAGGGTAGCGGCAAATGTGCATTTGATTACTGGGAATTGATGACACAATAAGATCTTTGAGGAAGGATATTTGTGGCTCATCAAATGTATCAAATACACAAAAAGTCCCAAAATTCAGTATGATGTTTTCTTGCATAAATGCAATCGATAGATTGTTTTAGTGTTCAAGTATATGTTACCATTTGCATCTGATGATCTCTTTTGCATTGGATCTTGCAGTCTCATGTTCAGATAAAATTCCCAGAACCAACACCACTGGGACTGGAATTCTTGCAATCCAAACTGGAGCATCCTTTCTATGTTTACCCAGAAGCAGATATGCTGCTTTCCATGAAAAATCCCAAATCTTATTCCACTTTCGCGGAGTGGGGAAAAGGTTGGGCTGATCCTGAAATCCGGCGTCAGCGCTTAGAAGGGAGGCGAGCACGGAGGAAGCCACGGAAAAGAAAACAGAGTAAACATCAGCCGGATGTGAGAACAGTTCGAGGAAGGTTAGCTGCAAAGCTTTCAAAACAGAAACGATAGATCAAGGCCACTAGATGGTTTGACCTCTACCAATGTTTAGGAAAAGCTATTAATCAACTTTGATATCAATCTTGATATTGGTTCTTGTCCCTTGACATAGTGGCAAAAGCAATACCATAATTTGATCTTTAAATTTCAACCAGTGTTGAATGTTCTTAATACCTAAAGCAAAATCTTGATCATGACCTACTATTTCTTCAAGTGTTAATAGCACTGACGTGGTATTGGCAGGCTACTTTATACCCATTTTGTGGAGGTTTTATTTCGGCCTTGTACCTAGGGATCACAGTGGACCGAAGGGGGTAGTCTCCATTCCCGTATTCGCTCAAAATTTTTTTGTCTACCCCCGTTAACGGGTATAGTTTTTATCTCTATTTCTTTCTGTGGATAAATTTGTAATCTCCATCCCGTCCTCTCTCCCCCCCCCCCCCACCTTACCAACCCACGCCCAAGTCCATATAATTCAAAATTCTAAATAATTTTAATATTCTAAATAATTTAACATAATTATAGAATGTCATAAAATATTTAAAAGTTTGTCATTTACAATATAATACAATTAAAACTTTGTCTACAACATAATCTAACATAATATAATTACAAGTTTGTTTTCCTTCTAAATTCAACACAATATCATGCAACACAACATAATGTAACATAACATAACCTAACATAAAAAAATATAAAAACACAAATATCTACACTTTTACAAGTTAAAACAATTAAAAAAAATCAAAAAATAAATAATTTTCAAAAGAAAAAATCATTCATAATATGTAGATTTGTATTCACAGCAATATATATGTATGTATATATAATAATAATAATACTAATAATAATAATAACGGTTAAAGCGGGATGGGGAGGGGCGGAGGCGGGGGCGGGAGTAAGTGTCAATTCATCATCGTCTTCATCTCCGCGCGAGTTTATATGAGTATTTTCGTATATGTCCACTGTCTAATACGTATGGTTCATTTCTAGTCCAAACGGGATGGATTTGGACAAATATCCATTTCTACCCGATCCACTGCGATCCCTACTTGTGCTTGGCGAATGAGGGGGATAGGGTGCGTTCAAGGTACTACTTTGGTCTTTTAATATAACTAACCGTTAGTAGTCTATCCCACAAACTATACTCTTGAGGAAGAAACTTGGCTCGTCTTTCAGTACTTTTGCTCACATTGTATTAGTGGCATAGCCTTATACGAGTCCAAGCTCACCAATTGTTGATGTTGAATGAATTTTTGTTATTTATATTGCCCCTTTTTCAATGATGTGCACGAGTACAGATTGTAGATGGAGGGCTGACAAAAATGAATATTGATTGTAGAAAGGATACATGGTGGAATTGCACCATCTTCTCATAAATTTCAACAGGGCAACAACTTGGCACTTTCGCTCGCTTCTTTTTAGGAGTATCAACTTTTCAGTTCAAAGCCTCACATTTTAGTTTTGTCCTCCGCTGAATGTAAAAGGTGGTAACTAGCGTAAGACTTGGGAAGTAGTTAGCCTTATCCCCATCCTAAAGAGTGGGGTACTCGATTACTAATAGAAAGCCTTAACTGCATTTTAGGGGCAATTTTGTGAATTTAAACACACGACACATTGCTTAAGTGGATGAATACAGTGCTGTTGCTCCGTTTTACAGAAGCAGCAAGTTGGGCCGGAGCCTGGCTGTTCGTTGCTTTTTGACAATACTTGCTTCTTCCCCACAGCCATATCAAAATTTAGCCTAAAAGATTTGAATTTCCAAAAAAAACCATCAGCAACATTCAACTAACATGTTTTAGAGTTCAGATGTACAAATTTTAGTGTCATACATCGGATGAAAGTCAAGAATCTAAAGTCGTGCCTGGTGTTCACAATTCATCGTTAGGCTCCTCATCCTCGGATTCAGCAGCACTTCCACCACTCTTCTCGTAAGCCCATCTAATGACAGGATTGCAGACAGCTTCCAGCTCCTTTATCTTCTCATCAAAGTCATCTTTCTCTATGTCTTGATTCTCATCCAACCATTCAAGAGCCTCCTTCAACGCGGTATCTATATTCTCCTTGTCATCAGAGTCGATTTTGTCGGCGAGCTTGTCGTTGTTGTTGATGCTGCTCTTCATGTTGTACATATAGCTTTCAAGCCTATTTCTGGCATCGATCCTCTCTTTGATCTTCCTGTCCTCCTCTGCAAACTCCTCCGTCTCCTTAACCATCTTCTCAATCTCCTCCTGGCTGAGATGCCCCTTGTCAGTAGTGATCGTGATGGATTGTGATTTCCCTGCAGTCTTGTCCTTCGCTGTTACATGAAGTATACTATTTTCATCAATCGTGAAGATAACCTCAATTTGAGGCACACCCCTACAAGAAAACAAGACCAAAGTTCTAGTTAGAATTTTACACCCTCACTCTATTTTGCATCAATTACCACGAGGTACATCCAGTATCTTGATATGCCATTTTAGTTCAACTCTTTAAACTAATAAGTTTTGACATTTTCTTAACCTTCTAAGACTCGGTAACTACATCATCGTGGCTGAATCAATGGCGAAAAGGAGAATTTTCTCAAAGTTTAGATCTTCCAGAACTCACCTTGGAGCAGGTGGAATGCCAGTTAAGTCAAACCTTCCAAGTACACGACAATCCTTTGTCAAGCTCCTTTCACCTTCATAGGTCTACAAATTTCTGGAGACAAATTAGATCCAGCAGCAAAATGCAATTGCAATATGTTTCCAAGAAAAAAAAATCCTTTTTCATATGCAGTACCTTGATTGAAACAGCAGTTTGCTGGTCTTGGTAAGTCGTGAAAATCTGCGATTTCTTGGTCGGGATAACAGTGTTCCTCAGTATCAGTTTTGTCATGACTCCACCTGCAGTTTCAATACCAAGGCAAGACCAAATTTATACATTTTGAATGATTGCTTTGGTCTATCTGTTTAAGAAATTAGATTCCAAACAAGCTCTTGTTAGAGTCGATCAATTCAAGTGCAAGATCAGTTACTTTAATTTCTTCCCCGCCTTCGCCACCGAGGATTCCACCATGAACCACAGCACCATAGGCAACAGCCTCATCTGGATTGACACCTTTGTTTGGCACTTTTCCATAAAAAAGGTCCTTCAATAGTTGTTGCACCTTGGGAATCCGAGACTCCGAGTGCTACCACCAACAAGAACTATTTCATGAATGTCTGTCTTATTCAAACCCGCATCCTCCAAAGCCTTCTTTGCTGGCCCCATTGTCTTCTTGATCAAATCCATGTTCAGTTCTTCGAATTTTGCCCTTGCTAGCGGCTCGGAGAAGTCAGTACCATCAACAAGTGACTCAATATCAACACGAGCTTGGTGCTGGCTACTCAAGGCTCTTTTAGCTCTCTCGCATTCCTTGCGAAGCTTTCCAAGTGTTTTCTTGTCTTTGCTAATATCTTTATTATATTTCTTCTTGATCAACTTGATGAAATACTCCATCAATCTCTGATCAAAGTCTTCTCCTCCCAAGTGGGTTTCCCCGTTTGTTGCAAGAACCTCAAACACACCATTATCTAGGGACAACACGCTGACATCAAATGTACCGCCACCAAGGTCAAAAACAAAATGTTCTCTCCTCCTTTCTTGTCCAAACCATAGGAGATTGCTGCCGCGGTTGGTTCATTAATCATCCTAGCCACATTGAGCCCAGCAATGGCGCCTGCATCCTTGGTGGCCTGTCTCTGTGCATCGTTAAAGTAAGCTACACAAAGAAAAATATCAAACATTACAAGCATATATAAAGAGGTTTTACAGCAAATTCAAAATATTTTGTTGGAAACATAGACAAGTGAATTTTGTTGGAAGCATAGATAAGCTTCAATTGTTTCTGTTTCTGTAGCACAATTTTATCATTCTATGGTAGATGATACTATAAAGAAAGAGATAAGAGAACTAAGACAATCGAGATATACCAGGGACAGTGATAACGACGTCCTTGATTTTCTTTCCCAAGTAGGACTCCGCTGTCTCCTTCATCTTTCCCAAAATCAAAGCACTGATTTCCTCAGGACTAAACTGCTTGACCACATCATCCTTGATCTTTACTTGGATGAAAGGCTTACCATCTTTGTTCACAGCTTGTAAGGCACCATCTTCATATCTTTCTGAACCTGTAGATCATCAAACCTTCAAACCACACAACACAAAACAACTATCAAACCTGACTCTACAACACGAAGAAACATTGCTATATCTGAGATATTAAGCTTAGATTAAGAAACAAACCAAAATAAGGAAGCAAAATGCAAAAAACAAATGGTGATTAACATTAGTACTTAAACAAAGAAAACAGCAAAAAATACTTACAAAAACCTTATCAAACTAGGTTCAACCCTTTTACGTACTTTCTTCCAATGAGTCGCTTAACACCAAAGATTGTGCGGTCTGGGTTCATAGCCGCTTGATTCTTTGCGGCTTCACTGATAAGACGTTCGCCGTCCGTGAATGCAACCCATTATGGAGTTACTCTGTTTCCTTGATCATTCGCTATGATCTCAGCTTGACCATTTCGATAGGCACACACGCAAGAATATGTAGTTCCGAGATCAATTCCAACCACAGTTCCAAGCTTTGGCTGCTTTGATTCCTCAGCAGCTAAAAGTTCTTCAAGAATGAAAAGAAGAAGAATCGAAAATTTAATAATAAGTTTGATGATATCTCTGTAATACAAAACATAATGCATCGATAAACAAGAATGCACCACATGCATGATGTTGACTACTTGACTTCATATTTCACCCTCATCTACGAGCTAAACTTGTGAGCGTTTCTTGATTTTATGAAGTCCAAAGTGTTTTTTTGGGAAAGTAAATTCCAAAGTTATTGTCAAAATATTCATACAAATCATAACTGCTGTGATTTTTAAGTTTATCATCGACTACCATAACTCATTTGCCAAAATTACAGTAGCTCATATGAAAAGCGTGGCTTAAAACTACATTTTCAATATAAATACGTTTTTTCTATCGAGAAACGTGAATTTGCTCCACCATTTTAAAAAAATAGTGGTATCTTGGAAAATAAGTTGTTGGAGACAGTTACAAGGCTCAATAAATATAGATGGAACCCATACATATCTAAAAATACACATTATATTAAAATTTTTACTTCTTTTTTCTAATCCAATATGCGATTCCATACCCAATAAACTAAGTACAACCGTAGTACGAAAATAAAGTTGAAAAATAGGACAGAATTATCCGAAACTCATTTTCAAACTTGCAATTTTGCTTAGACAGCCACTGTTTCTAGGCAACCAGACAAGAAAAAACTGATAAACATTGCTAAAACTAACAACAAAATTTTGAGAAATCTTCCTAGTAGCATAGCATAGATGTTCATACCTGAAACAAAGAGAAGAAGAAACCAGAATGCTTTTTTCTTGCCCGCCATTGTCCTTTTTCCTCTTTGGAGTAGGTGACAGTTGAATTGAGTTGGGAAATGCACCGCCAGGGTGACGTCCCGAAAGTTCTTTGATTTGTAGAGAAAGAAAGACTACATTAATCGGTAATTCTATTTAGGGTTAAAAACACGGATACCCTGAGTTCCTGATATTCTGAGGTTTGAAATTCATCGCACGAACCTCTTTTGTCTCTCTTCCATCAATATTGATAACGGAAAGCGAAGATTTCATCCCAATTTTTTTTTATTATTTTAAAAATTACCCTTCCCTAATTTTAATACAAAAAAATAATATAATTTAGTACTCCCAAAAATTGATTAAATGAATTTTAATATTGATTTAATAACAATAAAAATTAATTTGATATTAATTCAACAAATTTGAAGATAAATTAGATAAAATATTAAATGTTAATTTGCTAAAACAATATATTAATTTACAATATAATATTCTTTTTGTGTTAAATATTATTTGGTGTTGATTAAACTAACACGAAATTGACCTAGAGTTATAATTTTTTTTGTTGTATATAAACTTAAAAATTTATATTTAAACCCATAAAATTTAAAAATTTATATTTAAACCCATAAATTTAAATACACTCTCTTAGTATATCACTTGATAAACTTTCGTTTGCTCAAGGTTCAAACATGCATATTTAAACTAAATCAATCGTTCACCCCACTTTTTTTTTTAAAAGAATTGCTCGCCTCCACCTAGTAAAATCAAAAAGCTCTAGATCACGTGAAAATACATGAAAGTAAATTAAAAAATTGACAAAAAATTTGAAAAAATGATTGTTCAAATTTTTTTTTAAAATTTACCAAAAATTTTGATAAGATTGTCAAAAATATAATCTAAGGTCAATTTTCGTGTTAATTTGATCAATAATATAGAATGAACTTTATTATAAAATAATATTTAATTTATCAAATTGACATTTATTTTTTGTCAAATAAATATTCAACTTTGTCAAATTAATTTTTATATTTATCATTTTTTTGGATATTAAATCAAATTTTTTTTGATTTTATTATTTTTTTAATTTAATTTTTTTGGTATTAAATTTGGAGATAGAAAATTTTAAAATAATAAAATTTTTTAGGATAAAATTATCATTTTTTATTAATTGATGGAAGGGAGACAAAAGGGTCTCCGTGTAATGAGTAAGGTGGTCTTTATATTATTTGTAAAATGTCATAGGGTGTCTATATAATATTACTAAAACTCATGCAGTGTTTATATTTTTTACCTTTGTATATATGTGTTTTTTGGTCGAATACGACAAATTATTTTATTTTATTTTATCATTACAGGGGCAGTGGCATTTGAAACTAACACCTTGGGTGAATTAAGAGAGTGAACAGCCAGCCGAATGGACCCAAAGGTCCAAATTATTTATATTTTGCCCCCTAGTAATGGTGTATGTGAGGTGTGCATAATCAGGTCATGTGATTTAAATTCATGTCGAGTTTAATAATAAAATTATTTTATTATTTACAAAAAAATTCATGTTAATATTTGTGTTAATAAATAAAATAATTATTAATATTTATGTCAATATCTATCAAAGAATAATAGAATTGATACAAAATATAGTATTTAAGGAATTTAGGACTTCATTGATATAAAACAAAAATGGTAGAATTTAATGAATGTTTAAAAATAAAAGTAATACTTATTAGTAAATTTTCCTAAAATCTATGCTCAAATTGGTGTATTTTTTGAATGTGGTATTTGTGTACTTCTTTAATTTGAAGGATTCAAGACAAAATGCATTGAAATTCTTATTTAATCATCGGAATTGTTGTGGAGTTCATATATTGTATTCATTACTTAATTAAGTTTCAAATATTTGAAACCGAAAGATAAAGAAAAATAATACAGCTTTAGTCCATTGAAATTGATCTTTTTCTTGAAAAATAAAAGGACTTTTGGAAGTCGGTATACAAAATTGGACTTAATTGTCAAAAAGTATATAAAAAAAATATTTTGTAAAAAAATCCACTTAAGACATAGAAATACTTGAAAGTAAGTATTTTAAATAAGTTTCAGAAAAAGGATTCCCACATTTATCTATCTATATTTATACTACTAATAAATCTATATCTATATCTATACTACTAATAAAAGTATCTTAATATAAAAAACTTTTGAATATTTATTTTATCCTTATAAAGAATTGCAAAGATCACTCTATCTTTTCACAATTAAATATCTAAATTTTCATAATATCCTTATATATTTAAATCTCTAAATTATCTATAACATCTCTTTTAATTATCTATTCTCTATGTATAAATATCAATTTTTATAAAAAAATTTATTAACTATATTACCCTAAAAATTATGCATCATTACATTTTTAATAAAGTGTTCAAAAAATCTTTAAAAATTTCATCAATCTAAAATTACTCATATCATATGCAAAGATAACATTATACCTACATATATATATTTTCTTTTTCATTGAAAATTTTAATTTTTTTCATTTCTAACGTAAAAAATAATCATATATATAGTTTTTTAAAATCAAATTATGTTATATCATTATAATTATTTAATCACAATAAACTTTCTAAGTTGTATTAAGATTTTATGTGAAAATAGATATTGTAGTGTATTTTAAAGTAAAATTTGTTTTTTTAGAATTTTAATATTGTAAAATTTGAATTTTTTTAGAATTTTTAAGTAACACTTAAAATTTTTAGATATTTAGAGTAGTATATTAAATCTTCTCCCAATTCTTAATTACAATAAGGTTCTAATATGATTGGTATATTAACAATTATTTTTATTTTATTTAAGAAATTTAAGTGGAATCCTAATAAAATAATTTTTTTAAAAAAATATTTTTCAATCATCACTAAAAAATCAATCTCAATAATAAAATTCTTAAAAAATAAAATTTTAACTATTTTTACATCTTTTTTCTTATAATTAGAACAAAGAATTTTGGGAACATATAAAGTTTTTATAATCGTATAATAAAATATGAGTAATGAAAAATTAAGTATGATAAATTTGAGATGATATTTAATTTAAATACATATATATCTAATATATTTTATTAATTTTTGTGTACAAAAATTATTAACGTGTAATGCACGTGGTGTATTGCTAGTATTTATGTATCAAAACCAATAATAAATTCTCTCGATTTTTTTAAGGATATGTTTCAAAGTTTTTGGAATCTTTTGAAATTTGACAGATAAAATGAAGAAATTTTTATTATTTTATCTTTGAAAGTACTAAAATCAAAGAATTTTGATTTTAGATTTAATTTGGTCATGTATATATATGTGTTAATATATATGTACATATAATACTACAAAGTCACACTATTAAGCTTAATTTTTATTACTCCTACACTCTTTTGATACACAATATTAATACACTTTAAATTTGTATAATTCTTAAACCCTAATATATATTACTTCTATACAGTTTTGATACACTTTAATTTTATAAACCCTTTAAAGTGTATCAAAACAGTGTAAGAGTAATAGAAACTAGGGTTCATAGTGTAACTTTGTAGTATTATATATATATACACATCACCAAATTAAATCTAATGTAAAATCAAAATTCTTTTATTTTAGTACTTTCTAAAATAAGAAAATTAAAATTCCTTAATTTTAGTTGTCAAATTTCAAAAGTTTCCAAAACCTTTGAAACACATCCCTAAAAAAATGGAGAAGATTTATTATAAGTTTTGATTTTCATAAATTTTAAGTTTTTGTTTTATTAGAACTCCTATGAGGACAAATATGTCAAAAGAAATCACAAAAAGTTAAATTGTGTACTTGGATACAATTAAGTTCTAAAAATAAAGACTTAATAACCTAACATTAAGAACTGTGTACTTTTTGACAATTAAGTCTAATTTTATATACTTTTTTACAATTAACCTAAAAATAAACCAACTAGAGCCATACATCTATATAATAAAGTACAATACAATTCATATATCAAAAGATAAACAAAATGACCAGCCCACCACCATCATTACTACCACCACCACCATCACCACCCATCACCCTACCACCACCATCACCACTGCCACCACTCCCATCACCACCTCTTTCACATAAACCACCACCACTGCCCCACCACCACAACATCTGCCACAACAACCACCATTACCACATCCACTGTCGCCACCCCTAACGACCACCACACCCACCACCCCACAACCACCATCACAACTATTACCACCCCCATCGCCCCACCATTACCATCACCCCACCAGTGCCTCACCACCACCATCCCCATTACCACCATTATCGTTGTTGCTACCTTACAACCACTGCCACTATCCCACCGTCATCACCACTCCTACTGCCCCACCATTACCATCAACATTGCCACCCACAACTGCCACCATCACAACCGGTTGTTATTACCCATCACAACTATCATCGTCTCCCATCACCACCACTGCCGCCCACACTATAACCACCGCTCACCTCCATTACAATCGGTGCTTAAATTCCTTTCTATGTTCTCTGTCTTTGTAATTTGATTTTGGGTATGAATACAAATATGTTTATTATTGACTTTTATTTTATTATTCCATGCCTTTAGGCATGGGAAATAACTAGTATATCTATAATTTATCCCGCCCTCTCGTAGGTTTGAATAATCCCGAGTACACAAGTTAAAAGCTACTGTCCATTTAGATCTACGATTAATCTCCTTTCAGACATACCTCGGGTGAAAAACCTCAATCCAAACATAGGTTTTGTGTATCATTTACGGACAAAAATTATTATATCCGAGGATTTAATCCAGAAACAAAATACACCCATATATAAAAGGTTGAATTATACTTTGTACCCCCAAAAATTTATGATTTCTCACATTGGACCATCAATATATTAAAAGTGTTACAATATAACCATTTCGTTAGTTTTTGTTATTTATTCTGTCAACATCAATAGGATAAATTTTAACCAAATAAGCAACGAAACCCATTACCATACTCAAC